CGGGGAGGGGGGGCATCAGAATTTTAGAGATGCTTAGGTGGGGCATGGCCAAAAAAAAGGTTGGGAATCACTGCTCTAGAGAATTCCTGGAAGCCTGGCATTCAGAGAAATCAGCTAACAATAGGAACACTGAGATAAACATCATCTACATACCATTCAAAAGAGATAAGCAAAAAGCAAAAAGATCCTAGAACTTCCTTGCCAGCAATCAACATTTAGATAAACAGATTAATACTACTATCAAACAGCAAACAATGCCCCAGTCAAGGAACTATTGACTCAGACAAATAGTAAATAACAGCCTAGTCAAGGAACTACCAACACCACTTCCACCAACACTGACAGGGCAAACCACCTGTATATAAACAAAGAGAATATTAATTCCCTTCTAGCACTGATGATGTTACCTAATTGAGTAATGAAATGTCTGCAAAAAAACCCAACCAAGTTAGAGAGGATGAAGGACCCCATATTTCAACTCTGAGCTACAAATATTCTCTTCTATTGGTGCTTAAAACTATCTCAGTCCTGGGCTACAGCTGAGGAATAAAGAGAAAAATATCCGTAGTCAAGTCATAATTGCATGGTGGTCAAGATTTCATTCTTCTGGGTGATGTGTAGAATCACAAGGATAAAGATGATGTGTGGTTGGAGATTTCTTCTCTGTTCTTTGCTTTGAAATAGTTCTAGTTATATTGTAAGGAATAAAAGGAAGAAAAAGTATCCATGTGCTTATGGGGGGGGACTTCTAATGGTGAGGGAGAATTGTTAGAAGAAATATCCTTCTGGGTTCAGCTCCAAGTGGGGAAAAAAACACTGGAATCATGGAGACTGCTTGGAAAGATGGTTTAATGGTGGACAAGATCATATGGTTTGAGTTCCTGAACAGAAAACGGGGAGAGATGCTGAGCGTGCTTTGGTTTTATGCCCTCTCTGGCTTTGAACTTCCTGGGCCCCCGAAAGAGTATCCTGATTGGTTGTCAGACTCCCAGGGGGTGGGGGTCTTAGCTAGCCTTGCTGGCTGATGTAATCTTCCCAGGTGCCATGTGGTGAGTTTCTGTTGCTAGATGGGTCCTATTGTGTTAGTTTCTGTTGCTAGATGGATCCTATTGTGTTGCAGATGATGGTCCATAAAACATGTTTCTCCATTTCTCAACCAGGGAAATATAATATTCTGCCTTTTTAATATTTCCTAAAATATTTCATTCTTCTAGGAAAGGGGTGGGTGCTAACTTCCTACAGAATAAAATAAAATGAAGAGACCAAGGTAAACATAAATGGGGGGAACCAATGTTGCTATAGAGGATCTACAGATAGGAATACTGGGTTGGCAGGTGGAGAGTGCATTCAAACGTTTTTTCAAAGGCCAAGAGAGTACTGTGTGACAGCAGTGATGTGAAGATGTTCCTAATTTATTAAACATTTTTCAGTTATATTTGAGCCGGGGCAGTTACTTATGCTTGGTTAAGCCTATCCAATGTTGTTGTTTTCTCCCCGAAAAGCAATAAATAGTGCAGTCATTGTTAGGTGGGTTACAATTAAATTTCTGCTGCATGATATCAGGGACATATAAGACAGGTTGAGAGAATGCACATTGACTTTACCGGCATTCTATAGAGTGCTATTTGGGGGAGAAGATTGGGCAAGGATCTAGGCATGTCTGTTTACAAAAGAGATGTCAGTATATAAGAACATTAGAGAGCAGCCTGGAAGTAAATTTGAAAAAAATGAAAAATATAGTGATTTCATAGAATCAGAAATGCTTTGGTACTTCATTCCAAAATGCCTTATATTCAGTTTCTTGCCATTTTGTTCATCTTTACTATAATATTTGCTTTGTGATGCTGCTCATGACACTTTGAAAGTGTTCACATGTGTTCACTGACCTTGAAAAGTTGGAAGAACTCCCGCTATTAAGCTTATTATGGCTTACTTTGCAATAGGCTTGTACAAGATTGTTACATGAGAGATGGAGTTTGTGATACAATTGAATGAATGTGTATGAACATGCATGTATTATGCAACAGGCCAGGCAACTAAATAACAGGCCAAGTAAATATTAGCAGGAGTGGGGTATATTTTCCCACATTCTTTGAAGCATATTTCTTGCCTTTGAGTTCTTTACTTATTACTTATACCTTCTTTCCTATTGTTCAGATTTGAAAGTGCCTCTCCAGTGGACACTTTCCATTATTTTTCATGTATACGCTTATAAGCTTGTTGTTTTAATCTTTTAAGTACACAGAAATCTTTTGATAGCATCTTTAAACTCTTAATGAATTAGATGTGCTAAACGCAATGTTTCATGTTTATAAATGATCTTGCAGATTATTTTTAACTCTTGCTAACTACTCTTGATATATAATTAACTTTTTTAATGCTGTTCTATGTTGTTATTTTAATGAGAAGCCAAATAATTTCCTAAGGATAGTTGCATGGTAAACAGAAAATAAAAATAAAAATATAAATATAAAGGCATAGGCAGGCTAATTGTACTTTAAATAATATAACTCTGGTGTTGACATATTATTAAAATGTTTTCCTCCTTGCCCTCTTGTTTAAAAAAATATAATTTAAATGTTGACAAAGAAATATATCAACAATCCAGTTTTGAAAATTAACCAATCTTTATGTCCTGCAAATCCACAATTCTTGATAGATTCCACATAATGGAGGTGTACTTAAAAACTATGTATGAATCATTAACATGCAGCAATTGAACCAAATTCATGTTAACAGTCTTTTTTTTTTTTTTTAATTTGATTTATATGCCGCCCTTCTCCGAAGACTCAGGGCGGCTTACAATGTGCTCAGCAATAGCCTTCATCCTTTTGTATATTTATACAAAGTCAGCTTATTGCCCCCACAAACTGGGTCCTCATTTAACCTACCTTAGAAAGGATGGAAGGCTGAGTCAACCTTGAGCCTTGGCGAGATTCGAACCCTGCAGTAATTGCAGGCAGCTGGTCTTAATAACCATCTTAATAACAGGGTGCCTTAAACCCCTGTACTACCAAGGCTCTTAACAGTCTTTCTGATGTCAGCCCAAAATGTGATGAAACTAGAACAAGTCCAAACCATATGGGATAATCTTTTAACTTTTTAGTTGCATCTCCAACTGCAAAACAATTATAACCTTCTATATAAAGTATTTTCTAAGGTGTCCAGCATACATGAAACATTGAAAATTTTAATTGTATTGATTTCATTTGAAGAACACAGGGAACAAATTTCACATATTTAAGTGACTTTCCTTTGATTTGCCAAGATAAAATATTCAAGCTTATTATTCCAGATATTCTGTACATAACTAATTGAATCAACATTCTTCAACATTCAATACATCAAATATTTAATTCTCAAGTAGAATAATCAAAACAAAAAACCACTCTAAGGCATTTTTGCACTTCTACAAATGCTTTTAAAAATGTTTTCTCCAAACTGAATTGGTCCAAACTAATAATGCTATAGATAGCCTACTTTATCCTTTTCAAATAACTAACAGATGCTATTTTTTTTTCAACTGAGATTATTTCATAGTGTAAACTATTCACTATGAATAGTTTGGTGTAAATTTGGTGTAATAGTTAAGGGACCTTTTGGTGTAGAGCCAGTTTGGTATAACAGTTAAGACACCAGACTAGAAATCAGTAGAGTTTCAGTTCTATTTCTGCCTTAGATACAAAGCCAGCTGAGTAACCTTGGGACAGTCACTCTATCCCAGTGCTAGGAAAAAAGCAATGGGAAATCATTTCTGAAATATTGCCAATAAAATTTGTCCAGTCAGTCACCAGGATCCAACACTGAATGGCACAAAAAAAAGCATTATATCTTCTTTGTACAATGTAATTAAAAATCTGTTTGGAATGTGTAAAGCTATTAAGTTCAATCCATTTATTAGTGATCCATCCCTGTCAATCCCCCATGACAGGCGAACAATACCAGTAGGACGTGAGATTTGTCGCTGTAATGCTTTGACAAATGAAAAGCTGTTTCGGATTGTGCCAGTCTCCTTTTTGTGTAGCAGGTAGAAATTCTCAACCGGTGGCATTCCAGGGATGGAGAGGAGGAGGAAAGAGAAAAACCAACTCCGAATCTTTTGAATCACAACTCAGCCTATTCGCCAAAATGAACAAATACTGGCAAAACTGATTTCGATCCCATCACTACCACTTGGGGAACTCAAGCTTTAGACACAGACACACAGACACAGACACACACGCACACAATCACACACACACACACACACACACACACACACACACAGAGAGAGAGAGAGAGAGAGAGAGAGAGGAGGGAGAGAGAGAGAGAGAGAGAGAGGAGGGAGGGAGGGAGGGAGGGAGGGAGGGAGGGAGGGAGGGAGGGAGGGAGAGAGGATCTGGATCTTCTTTCACTCTTCTCCGTCCCAGACTTTTCACTTTTCTAGGAAATAGTGCGCGAATCGTCTGTCTGTGGCGATAACATGCAAAATAAATAACATTTATGTCCTGATGACATTCAGGAAGAGCTTAACTTCAGACAGAATCGCAGATCGGTCTGTGATCGAACTGCCTCCCGTGACTGCGGGGCTAAAGAAGTGGGGAGATCTTGCTTCTTAGTGAAACCGGTCAGAATAGAGCCTCCACAGAGAGAGAGAGACTCAAATCTGTTTGCCAATTTGCTTGCCCTGCACGAAATCGACCTCAGGGTCCTTCATTCTTATCGTTTTGCTTGCGAAGAAATAGGATTTTTGTGGAACCAAGAAAAGGAGTTTGCTCCGCTTACTGCAAAAACGCTGCCAGCCTCCAACTCCTCTTTCGTACTTGAAAAGCTGAACATCCCAGGCTCAGCCGAGTTGGCGCTTTCGGTGCTTCCCTCTCCGCGTTTGTTCTCCAGGGGAGCAGCGTCAATGACGCTCTTGGCCAATCGGAGACGGAAAAGTGGGGGGGACTCCTTCGCCAGGACCCGCCCAGTCCGCGCTCCCGTGGTGCTGAAAAGGACAGTGCCAAGTTCCCCGAAGCCTCAGTCGCGGGGAGATGGCTTCCCAGCAAGGAGAAACTGGGATCAGGCGGAGGAGGGAAACGGATCCCGCGGCCGATCAGTCCGGTCCTTCGCGGTTGTTTACCTGGGAAGAGATCGGGCTGCGCACCGGCCAGGGAGACCCGCCACGGGAGCGCTGGCTGGTGATTGACAGGAAAGTCTATGACATCAGCCGGTTCCACAAGAGGCACCCGGGGGGCTCTCGGACCATCTGCTCCTACGCAGGGCAGGACGCCACGGTAAGGCGCGCGGCAGGTGGCGAGAGGAAGACTCCGGTGTTTCCAGTTCCTTGCAACCACGAATCTTTCACTCTTCATGTCAAAGCTGGATTCCTTTTTCTTGCTGTTGCCACCTCTTCTTTTTTAGCTTATTTCATTTAGGTTGCACTAAGATATCTGTAAGGGTAAATCCATCTATGATGCCAGACATGGATTTCTTCCTTTCTTTTTGGAAACAGACTTTTCCCCCCAATTCCTTCTTTCTAACATACTCTAATTCAATCTAATCTAATCACAGATTTTCTCCGTGACATTCTGTCCCTAACCTGATGCTTCAGATTTTCCAACATAACTAGAAGATTGCTGCTGGTCATGTTCTCGTTCCTTTCACCTTTCCCAGTATTAGAACTTTCTCCAGAGAGCAGGGTCTGCACAATGTGTTCAGAGTAGGATAACTTTAGCCTGGTTATTTGTCCTGAAGTGAGAACTCTGGGTTTAGTTGTCCAATGATCCATTAGTTTGTTTTCTTGGCTGGCCATGGTATTAATAGAATAGAATAGAATAGAATAGAATAGAATAGAATAGAATAGAATAGAATAGAATAGAATAGAATAGAATAGAATAGAATAGAATAGAATAGAATTTTTATTGGCCAAGTGTGCTTGGACACACAAGGAATTTGTCTTGGTGCATATGCTGTCAGTGTACATAAAATCATACAATTCAGGAGTCCAACATCAACGTTCAAAACCATCAATACTCTTCTGCTTCTTCAACTTTCATTTCCATAAAGTATCACAGGGAATACCATGGCTGGTATTGCACAATTCTGCTACTTATAGATATAGACATATCATAGCATTTGAGTATCTTTTCAAAGACCTTCATGGCTACTCTACTAAGTGCTGTGTGGTATATTTCTTGACCGCTTGTTTCTGTTCTGTTGATGGTTGTTACTAAAAGGCAGAAAATGTCTAACACTTCACTATCTTCATTATCAGTTCTAAGGCTGGTTCTTCTATCTGTTGTCCTTCATTTGGTCTTCTTTATATTGCATTTTAGTCTCATTTTTTTCCATTGTACAACTTGGCTTTTATTATTAAAGTTTGCAGATCCTCTGCATTTTCAGCTATTAGGACAGTGTCATCATCTTAGGCCAGATTATTGATGTTTGTGCCTCCAATTTTTACAACCACACACAACTTTGTCCAAATCAGCTTCTCTTAATATATACTTAGCATTCAGGTTGTATAACTAAGGGGAGAGTATATAGCTTTGTTGCACTCCTTTGGAGCCAGCCTGTTCTGTTCATGTTGAGCCTTCTTGACCAGTATGTAAGCTTCTCTCATATGAACAGTAAAATGCTCTGGGATTCCCATTTTTGTAAGCTTATTCAACAGCTTGATGTGATTGACAAAATTAAAAGTCATTCTATGATAAATGAAGCACATGTTAACTTCTTAGTATTTCTCAATTATCTATTATGCATCAGTTATATTTCATATTCCTCAGCCTTTTCTAAAGCTAGCTTGAACATTTGGCATCTCTTTTTATATGTAGGGTTTTCATCTGCATTGGATGATCCCTGTAATAATATCTAACCTGAAAGGAATGACCAGTGAATATGACCAAAGCATATGAATTAGTTCTAAAATAATATATTCAAGACAATGCAAGGGGGGGATCCTGTATATTAATTGTTCAATAAAGGTGGTAAAGAGATAACAGGTATGAAAAAAAGATAAAGGAAAAACATTTTCTCAACTCCTCTTTTGGCTCAGGGTTTTCAGAGAAGAGGATATTTATTTCATTGAGCAATTCAGAAGATCAGGTTAAAGAATCTAGTTTCACTGAAAGGAACAGAGAGAAACTGAACCCTCAGGCCAAATAGATTGATTGATTCCAATTGTATCATGTCACTATCCAAGTAAAATTCTTGAGAGTTTACATGTATAAACTGTAAACCCTTCAATATAAATATTAAAATAAAGCAATTACAACAGAAGCCAATATAATCTCCCCCCCTCTGTCTCTCTCACACACACACATACATCAGATAAACTAAACTTTTATTTAAAAAAAACAACAACAAATAAAATATGGTTAAGTCAGAATAGAATGCCCTCTGGAACAATTCAGTTTTCTACATCCTTCCAAATATGATCATTCAGATCTCTACTGGAAAACTGGTACTGCTGCTTCCAGTGGGGAACCAGAAGTAACTTCTTCAGGGATGATTTGGTTGCCCAGGCCAATTCTGTAAACCATACCATGACTCAATGTCTCTTGACTCTGAAAAATCCTGGAGAAAGAAAGTTTTGTTAGATAACTAGAGAAGGCTAATATGTCATGATTTTCATGGTGATAAAGGGTAGAGAGGACCCCATGGAACTACAAAAAGTCAGCTTGACAGCAACATGTAGAAATTGTTTAGAACAGATTGCAAAATAATTAGTAAGTAATACCTTAAAGACAATGCAAAAATGACAAGAAACCTGTCACATGAGTGTATCTATTTGATAAATCCAGAATTGGCTTCAAAAGCATTCTAAAATTTATAATCTGTATTCATTATATGAATGAATAGGTGGTGGCAATGTTTATCCAATTGCAGGTATTTCACAATTGATAATTATATTCTACAAATTAGAAATAAAATCATAATGATTTTGAAATATTAGAGAAGTTGAATTTAAAAAAGGAATTTAATAGAAACAAATGCAAATGTTTCATTTAGAAAACAGAAATCAAATGCACAGATAAGCACATGTAGATAATACATGTGAAAAAGATTTTGGAATTATAAACAATTATATATTGAATATCAATCAGAAAATTAAAATGGCTCCTAAGAAGGATAATGCAATTTTAGGCAGCATCAGTAGAAATATAGTTTCCAAGTTTTAACTTTTTAAAAGTCCAAATGAATGTTTCATTTATTTTGCTCTTGTGAAACTGCACTTCAACAACCAATTGCAGTATTAGGAGATGCACTTTAAGAATGGTCCAGAAGAGTTGGAACACAAAGAACTGATGTGGATGTTGAAGGAGTTGGAAACAAAGAATTATGAGGAAAGAAAGAGGGAACTGTTTAGCCTAGAGAGGAACAGTCTTAAGTGGGACTCAGTAAACAGGCTTCAGTTATAGGAAGGCTGATTCCAGCTTAATGTCGAGGAAGCAAGTGTTGTGTGAGAATGGAATTATTGATTGAGGAAAGGTGTAGGCTTCCTTTTTGGATGTCTTCAGGCAGAGACATAGGCTTTCCTGTAATCAATTCAGGCTGTTCTCAGATTGGTCCATCTAGATCTTGAATCTTGAGCTACCGCTCTATCTGTGAGCAACTGGTGTTTTGAGCTTTTGGTGTTGTTTCCAAAGCCCTTCTCAGCTGTGCTCATGTACCGATCCCAATGGTCCTGCAGCTTTGTGGCTATAATGCCTGATAGGACGTTCCATGTTGTGGGGAGGCTGGTCTGGTCGTGGGCTGGTGCTGGTCCCTTGTGGGGTCTTTCATGATCAGTTTTGTCTTTCCTTGGGTTAGCCAGTCTTGACGGGAGCCTCCTATTAGCAGCTAGTTCATTTATACTGCTAGGCTTTTATGCACTGGTATTAGTATATATGTAGTCTACACATACACACTACAGGAAGAGCTGTGGTGGTGCAGTGGTTAGAATGCAGTGTTGCAGACTAATTCTGCTGACTGCCAGCAGTTCGTTCCTGACTGGCTCAAGGTTGACTCAGCCTTCCATCCTTCCAAGGTTGGTAAAATGAGGACCCAGATTGTTGGGGCCAATATGCTGACTCTGTAAACTGCTTAAAGTGGGCTGTAAAGCACTATGAAGCGGTATATAAGTCTAAGTGCTGTTGCTATTGCTACATATAAATAGTATATTCACATGCACACTTGCACACACACATATGTATGCACATCCAGAAATATAAACAAAAAGAACAAAGATGGCAGAGATAACAAACCTGGAGGGAAATATAAATAAAATGGGGTTTCAATCATACGCACCAGAGGCCTTGGGAGTCTCAAGGGCCCTTTCATATGCAAGCATAGAAGAGCAAGAAAAAAAGGAGAAATAATGCATCCACATGTAGAACAGTAGTGACTCAGAATAAATTGGTAGCTAGATAAAAACAGTTGTGCAAAGTGTTGTGAAAGAAATCAACGATGTCTAGAAATCTGGATCATGCAGCATCATGAAGATGATTTCCCCTCCCCTCACGTTTATCATCTTAATGACAAGCTAATCTTTTAAGAATGATGGCACAATTGGAAGTAAGCCCGTAAAAGGATTATGGATCATTCTGCAATTTGTATGTGTTATCTTCACATATGCATTTTTTTTTATTTATTTTTTTTGCAATTATGGTCATGTTTCCTTTTAACAGGGCAACAGTAAAACGTGCAAATGTAAAAATCTTCTTCATGAAAAGGAATTTTTGTGAGATGAGTAGCTGAAATATTTCTTGAAGAACTTTCTTTTAGGGGGCTGAGGAAGAGGGATATCTGGTAGAGTGTCAAGAATCAAGATGATAGTCATGACAGCATATTCAGAGCCCTCCCCCCCCCCTTTTTTTTACATACGTCACAATGTATGTAAAATAGATTGGGGTTTGATCATACAGCCAGAGTCACTTGCTTACTTTTTCATCCCTTCTATGCCTGAAGAAAGAGGCCTGTGTTTTTCTGGGGGAGGCTGGTTTGCAATTCAAACTGGGTATGGCAACAGTACCATTTCAAAAGTCCTCTTGTTTCTTTTGTGACAACCTGTCATTAATAACCAAATCTAATTTGCTTGTCACTAATCTTAACATGAGAAAACTGATATTTAAATAAAATGTAACTATTCAAATGGTAAGCTTGAAGCAATAGCTGTTCTAGGCCAATAAAAAAAAAATACTTGTCCTGGAAAACTGCTTTTGGAACACCTAACATCTGAAGACCTGATTTTGAAAATGCTTTGGTCTCCTTCATTTTCAAATAACAAAAAGAAATATATTTTGCTCTCTTTCAT